ACTTTTTAACTATTAAATTACATAAAAAAAATTAAATACTATTAATTTTGATTTTTAACAACTAATCAATTAAATTAATACATATAACATTAGTGTTAAAATTAATATTAGCTTTTTTATTCTTCATATTAAGTGACTAAAAGATGTATTGATTATACTTTAAGAAAAAGTTTGAAAATAAAAATATATTTCAATAACTACCTAACCTCACAAGTTTAATATAAAAATATTTATCTGTATTCTAAAAGTACATATATTACACATTTTCTCTATTAATTTATATAAAAATTTAGAAAATAAATTTTATTCTTAGCATTATTGCCACGTTAAATGATTTAACTATATAATTAATATAATTGAAGTTAGTTTTTATTTTTTTTTATATAAATTAATAATAAAAATATATAATAAATAACCTTTAACATGAAAAATTAAAAAAATTAAAAATATTTTTATGCCTATGACTTATTTATTGCAATTCAAATACGAGGCACAACACTTAGAACATCTTTTGCCTTGGATTAAGCAAAATCTCATTTGAAAATAGCAACATGCATGTCTACTATCCGGTACCCAACCCCCTTGGTTCTCTCCTCTTAGTTGGCAACACACTTGGAAAAATAAAATTCCAAGAAATGCTTCAACAGTTGATCGTTTGTGGGTTAAACAGTCCAAATAGACAGCTAAAACAACGTCGTCAATAAAATGATGACAATAAACAAAACAAGGGGAGTACAGGGACGACATTTAGTGCCTTTGGAAAAGTAGAGGGATGAGCATGAACAAATCCTTAGTAGAGGGATGGGCATGAATAAAAATTAAGAGTAGACGGACTACAGTTGGCTTTAACCCATTTATGGATTTTAGGCCTTCTAAGTTCGAACAGACAACTGACCTACGGTTGGTTGGGCAAGTTGCTGCCAAAACCACGGTTACCGACGCACCATACCGTCACTAACGGCAACGGCACGGTAAAATTACCGTGTGGCAGGCCCAAACGGTATTGCCATAATACTGTTTGGGCCTGTGGTACGGAATTGATACTAAAGACCCATTACCAGATTTACCACATGGGCCTCTAGATTACCGAACTTTACCACTGGCCTATCTCTTTTTCTTTTTAACTTGAATATTTTTATTTTTATTTTTTTACCGAGAATTGGCAATTTTTATAATTTTGCCAACAATTTGGCAATACAAATAGTTATTGTCTCACCGACTCCTCCCGTTCTCCTTATGCTTCTCTCTTTTTCGCGTGAGGAAGAATTTTTATAAGTTTTTCATAACAACATAACATTAAGTATATTAAAAATATAATTTGTTTTTATAAATTTATTTAAATATTTTTAATAAAATAATATAAAAACTAATCTTATTAGAAAGATTTTAAATAAATTTATAAAATAAATTTAATTTTTAATATATAATTTATTTTGTAATTTTTTTTCTTGTATGCTTCTTTCTTTTCTCCACCCAATCTCAGATAAGAATCTCTAATTTCTACAAAAATTTCTTCATATCGGTTCAAGGCAAAGGTTATTGGAGTTTGGAGCATCTGAACTTGTATTAAGGTTTGGTAATCAGGACGGTATTGGTAAGGTAAGTATCATTACCATTAAAAATGGTTCGGCAGCCATTACCAGAAAACCACTAACTAGTACGAAAGTGGTAATTTTTTTCATTACCATTTATCAACGGTTACCACCATTTTAGGGCTGTAGGGTCATTGTACCGTACCTTGCACAGTCCTAAAGTGACCTGAACCTTATCGGAATTTCCCCAGAACAATAATTTGGGCCCAGAACCTTTAAGCCAGCACGGAGCCCATTCTTTAGTTCGAGCGTCGCGGAACTAAACAGTTGTGGGCTTTGTTGCCAATCCCTAGATATAGGATACGTAAATAAAATTTTATTTAGCAGGTTCGGCTCAGGAAATTAATCTACTGGCAAAAAAATTAGGCAAAATATGGTTCGTAATTTATTTTTAGTAGGGTTAGTTTAATTTTTTTATTTTTAAAATATAAATTTTAAATAAAAATTTAATAATTTATATAAATAATAATTACAAATTTTTTATTAAATAAAAATATAGGACCTGTTTGGTGCAACTTGTCGGAATTTTTGTTTTTTTTTGTACAATCTATGAGTGATAAGTTTAAATTTTTATTGAAGGAAAAATTTAAAAGTTGCTTTTAAAAATAGGAAAAAGTGAGTAAAAAGTGAGTAAAAAGTGAGTAAAAAATGAATAAAAAGTGAGTAAAAAGAAAATTTATGAAAAACTTAAATTTGAAGTTTTTGATCTTTTTATTGTTTATGGTCTTTTTAAAGTTAAAAAAAAATTAAAATGTAAGTTTTTAAGAAGAAAATTTAAATTTATGAAATATAAATAGTATCAAAAAACTGAAGCACTTGGGAATCTGCACCAAACGGATCTTAAGCAAGAATTATAAATAGAGATAAAAAATTTTTCATTTATTGTTTATATAAATAGTTAAATTTTCATTTAAAATTTATGTTTTAAAAATTAAAAGGTCAAATTAAGTCTACTAACAATAAATAAAGAAAATAATTAGTTATAAAATAAAAAAAATTAAATATCAATTTTGATCCTTTAATTTAAATTTTAAATGCTTTTGATTTTTAAACTATTTTAAACACCCACCCCTTGACTTTCTTTTCTTGACATTTTTTTTTTCTTTTAACTAAATACGGTGTCGCTATTAATTCAGTCCAAATATGATTCTTTTTTTGGATGACATGGTTATGATGTTGCTAAGCCAGCTTCCACCACAGGTAAACAAGAAATAATGCCAAGTTGTACTGGCAGTCTCAGGTGGACTAATAATGTGCAATAAAATTTTTAATTTATGTTAAAATTCAAGTCTCTTTAATAAAAACTTTGATTTATATTAACATTTAAATCTCTTTAAGAGCAATCGTAATTTTTCTCCTTCTTCCAAAAATTCCCCTTGTTAAAAGAAAAAATAATGCCAGATCACCTTCCTAAAGCACCAAAACTCTTCTTAAGTAGGCCCACTCGAAATAAAAAATATAACATTTTTAATTAATCAAAATTGGAAAACAATTAAGTAACAATTAACTTTCATTTACTTCTATTAAACAAATTTAAACAAAGAAATCGAAGAATTAGTAGATCTTGTTCCTCGAGGAATACGAAGGATTTCTCCCCATTCCTCAACTTTCTCTCCCTAGGTCTAGTCCTCTTCTTTCTCCTTCACTTTCCCTCGATCCCGCACATTCCAAAACCAATATTTAAGTTTTGCTATCAAGGTATTACAAATTTGATTTCTTTTACCATAATGGCTTCCATGGCTAGCTACTTCACTTGGTTTCATAGTGACCCATAGCCCTGATGAGATCCCAATTATTGTACTAGAACTATAAGGTGAGGGTTTGAATCAAAGTAGTCAATGTTGTATCGGTATGCGTATCAGTTTTGTTACTAGAATGGTACGTACCGGATATCGGAATTTTTTGTATACCGTTTCGGATTTATTGCTATAAATATATATTTTTATAAATTAAATATCAAATTTTAAAATAATATAAGAGATACTAATATTTAAAACTATGATATTCTTATAAATTAAAAATAAGTTTAAAATAATCATTTTTAATCTCTCAACTTTTAATATAAGTATATTTTTCGTCCATTCACTTTAAATTAAAGGACTAAAAATATTTATATTTAGATAAATTTAACAAAATAATTGATAGAAAGACTAAAAAAAATGAAAAATGGACTAAAAAAGTACATAAAAATGATAAAAGATAAAAATTATATATGACATTAAAGTTGAGAATTAAAAATAAAATTTAGCCTTTTAAATTTGAATTTGAATTATACGGACAGCTCCTGTGTATTGCAGTTGCAGGTTTTGAAAAAGCCCTTAGCCCAAAACGACATAGCCCAAAACGTTTTGGG